GTACATGAAATCATACCTCTGTCCTGAACCACGATGCTCAAATATGCTAATTTTAATAACATTATTATTGTGGTAAAACACAGCTGCACCTCCAGCAAAGACAGCCTCTGGAGAGTCTAGGTTTACAGAAATGTTTGTCTCTATGCAAATTATTTCCAATCTGTTCAAAACAATAAAGAAACAAGTTGTAGCCATTTCCTATCTCCTCACTCACGGTGATAACTTCCTGTGCTTGCCTCTTGCCAGTCCCTTTTTCATCTTTGTAAGGTGCTGATTCTAAGCTACTATGAGCTCAGAATACTGTCATTTAGAGAGACTCAGATGGTGGAAAACATGAGCTGCCAATTCCGACAGCCCTGGATTTAAATTCCTGCTATGCCTAAGGATCTGACTGCTAACCAGAAGGTTGGTGGTTCAAACCCACCAACCACTGCTCAGAAGCAAGACTGGGCAATCTACTTCCATAAAGATTTACCACCTCAAAAACCCAAATGGGGTCGCTATAAATCAGAATTGACTCGACAGCAGTGGTTTTTTATTTTTTTTTTTTAAAGGCCACTGACTTCATAACCTTGTCAAGTCACTCAACTTCTCTAAGCTTCAGTGTCCTTAACCTTAAAATGGGAATCCAAACCCAAACCAAACTCATTGCCATCGAGTCAATTCTGACTCACAGAGATCCTATAGGACAGAGCAGAACTGCCAAACGGGGTTTCTAAGTTTGAAATCTTTACAGAAGCAGAATGCCTCATCTTTCTCCCTCAGAGCTGCTGGTGGGTTCAAACTGGACCTTTCAGTTGGCAATTGAGTGCTTCAACCACTGCACCACCAGAACGCCTCTAAAGTAGATTATATTACCTATATTGAAAGTCCTGTTGCCATTGAATCAATTCCAACTCACAGTGACCCTAGAGGACAGAGTAGAACTGCCTCGTAGGGCTTCCAAGGTTGTAATCTTTGCCATATCTCCCATGAAGCTGCTGGTGGATTAGAACTACTCACCTTCTGGATTAACAGTTTGGTTTGGCTTTTTTTTTTTTTTTAAGTATTGAAAATATGTGGTAAAACCAAAAAGAAAACCGTACCATCGAATCAATTCCGACTCGCAGTGACCCCTCCCTTTGGGTTTCTGAGGTGGTAAATCTTTACAGAAGTAGCCTGCCCAGTCTTCCTTCTGCGGAGTGGCTGGTGGGTTTGAAATGCCAACCTTCTGGTTAGCAGTCAAATGTCTTTAGGCACTGTGCCACCAGAGCCCCTTATGTGGTAAAAGCAAATGAAAACTTAGGAAAGACATCCTGCAGAATGCTTTCTAGTACCAGCAGTGTAAGTTACCCAGCCAGCGCTAATCACTAGCCTATAACTAACAGGGTGTTGAAACTACAGTAAGTTAAGAACAATTGGATTTTCTTACCAGGAACACATGCTTTTAACGTGTGAAATTCCTTAGCATCCTACTGGAGAGCACCGTGAGTCGGAACTGACTCTACGGCAACTGTTTTGTTGAAAAAGAATACAGTAGTGAAGACACAAAGGTGAAAAAGAATACAGTACCTAGCCCAGAGATGCAGAGCCTAAGGACAGATAGACACAAGCAACTATAACAGCATCGCTCCACTGGGCATCAAGGAAGGTCTTCTGGAAGAGGTGACGTTCAAGGTGAGGGGATAAATGGGGGTTCATGGGGGGGGGGGGAAGATACTGAAGCCAGCAGACTTGGTCAAGGAGGATGAACCAGCACAGGGAAAGAGCTCCAAGAAAGAACAGGAACCCTGGGAGAAGTGAGCACAAGAAGGCAAACCAACCAGGAGTTGGATCTTCTTAAAGAAGCCATGGGGAATCACAGAGTATCTGAAGCTCAGTGGAGGCTGGGTTGCTATGAACAGGAGTCGCCTCGATGGCAGTGGGTTTCTGGGGTTAGTGGAAGGAGGCTGGCTGAAAAGACTGGAGATTGGCTCAGCCTGACATTCTGGAGCGATCCCTCAGCTAAGCTGCTGTTGACCAGGAAGGGGAGAAGCACTAGTCAAGAGGACACAGCACAGGCTGGAATAACCATCCATAGCAGCAGTGAGCAGGGAGGGTGTGGAGCGGCTGAGACAGACTAAGATGGGAGGCTTGACAACAGTCAGAAATTTAGGGAAATCCCCTGCTTTAAGCACACCGTTGGGTCACGGTGTCATTAGGCAAAATGGAGTCCACAGGAATAAAACATTCTGGAGAGGAAAACAATGAGCTCAATCTGAAATATATCAGAATAGAGCAGCCTGGAGCCCAGGTGTGGGCAGAATTAACTTCAATGGAAGAAATTAACATGAAGGCACAATGGAAGACAGGGCGGAAATAACACAGAGATTGACAACGGGCTGTGAATGTACATCTGTCACAAATCCTCGACTCTCTGGCTTTCACGTGTTTGCCAAGCAGGCAAGCTGAACTTTAAGTGTGAGATGTTACTTTATTGTTTGCATGTGGCTTTAAAGTAAGTCTGAAAGCCTTTTGGAAATGAAGTCTGCTGGAGACAGACGCTTAGTCTCCTGAGCATGGTGTCCACTCCTCCGCTCTCATCCCAGGCCCAGCACAGCGCTTGGGACCTAAGAGGTGCCCAAAAGCCAAGGACGGATTATCAAAACATGCCCTTTAAGTCAGTTAGGAAGCCACAGTGCTGAAGGACTTTACGATTTGCCTCAGATGCCACTGAACTGGCCAGGGAGCACAGTAAATTTTCTCTTTGTGCTGCTGTTTTGATTCAGAAACATCTAGTTCGGCAACTGGGACGTGACCTTGCAGAGTTCCAGAACTTACCCCAAAACAATGACTGCCTATCCGTATCTGCAGAGAAGCCAGAACAGAGGGAAAGAACCCTGACTGATTTTTCAAAGATTCATCTGAAAAGGGGAAAATACTAAAATGCTTTACCTACAGGTCCACCCTTACTAGTAACAAGGTCAGAGATCTTCCCAGCACTGTTGAAGACAGTGTTTTAAGATGCTTGCCCCTCTGAGGGCAACAGTTACAACGTCTCTTTGTTTACTTGCCTCGTACACACCTACTCAGATAAATGCACATTACAGGAACTCCGAAAACAGTCAGCAGCCATGAACTGCTGAATGAAAAAGATGAGCCCATGAACCACCAGGGAAGCCAGCTGCTGGAGAGGAACCATCAAGTCAGGATTCATCACCAAAGTAAGAGATGTTTTAAGAGACCCAAGTTATTCCGAAAAACTAAAAGGAAAAAAAGCCCAATGGCCTGATCACAGGATTATATTACAGTCAAATCTGTTTACATAAACCAGTTCTTGAGACTTCCTTTGGCCTCATTTTAAAAGGACCTGAGAATAAATTAACTCAATCCATCTTGATAGGCACACATTTTTACATAAATGTTTCCACGTGACTGAAGATTCTTCGTTCATTTTCTCTGCCCAGATGTGCACCTTGGGACGGCCTACCAAAATCTTGGCGTATGTACTTAAGGAATCTGGACATCCGTGAGACTGCACGGAGCAGTGAGAGGTTCAGTTGCGGAGTCATCATGAATTCTGTCTGTAACTCTGGACTCTTACGTAGTCTGCAGCTCAGTAATTCTATCTGCAAAATGGGGCCAATAATAGGACCTACCTCACCAGACTCATGTAAGGATGACAAGAAATAATGTATCAGGAAGACACTATGTAAATCGTGTTATTTTTGTAACTGCAAGTTCAGTCAGTACCTATCAACTCTGCATGTTAAGTACAGCAAATAGCTTAGTGGGCGACATTAAGCCACCCACTTCCAGAGTAGTGCAGTGTCCCGCCACTGTAAATGTGCCACCAAATAAAGTTCCCAAGTCATTTCTTTACCTCTCACCTTATATAGAACCAGCCACTATATCAGCCACTGAATCAAGACAGTCTGACCTCACAAGCCACTCCAAATAAGGTCGGGCGCTAATCGCACGCGAATCGCCTGAACTGTGAGGCCACTGGCCGGAGTGCCCTGCACAATCCCAGAGTTTTAAGCAGCTCTGCTTCTGCTTTCCCACACAGATCTCGGAAGCAAAACACAGCAGCACACCAATGGCCACATCGTTTGCAGAATTAAAAAATTCAGATCTGCGCAGGTGACCAAGACGCCCTTCACGGTTGTGTCATAAAATTTAACACCTGTTCTGGGAGCGCTCTCTCTAGATTACCACGGTACTGAAATCACGTGAGTCGTCTCGTAACGACAAAAGGCTCAGTCCTTGGATCCAAAGGCAGGCCAGCCGGGCGCGTGAAGTCGACGGCTCGGCCCCACGTGGATTCCGCTGTGCGTTTCGGGCTGACGACGAGCTCTCACCGGGAACGACCCCCATCACTCCTTCCTACACGTGAGTGTCTCGGGTGGGAGCCAGGGGAAGGACGCACAACGGAAGCCAACAGGCTCGTTCACCAACTTTCCGGAGACCGAAGCGCTCCCCGGTGGCACCTGGCCACCTCGCCCCTGAAGCGAACAAGCGTCCGTTGTGGCCACACCCTAGTCCCGGCTCCACGACGAAGCGATACCAAGTTTCAAAACCTCAACCACTGCCATCTGCTCCTCCCGCAACACTTAAGCGCACGCCGGGGCCAGAGCTAGAAGAAAACGTTCTCCGGGTCCTAGTTACTCGGGTTACTTCATTCAGCAATCGCCAAGTCCAAGATGGAGAATTACCTCATTCAATGAAAGACGGAAGGAATCCTGCCTAGAAGGGGCCCAACTCAAATCACCACGGCTCAGAGGGACTCAAAGGGCCGGTACCACTGCTCCCCTCGTCCGAGGGTCCAGGAAGGCACGAAGGGCCACGTTAAAACGGCCCGACACAGGATCACCCCGGAGTGACGGGCACAGGGCGCGACAGCATTATCTGGGCCCTCCTTTCTGCTGGCCCCTCGCATGGCTGCCTCCCCGATCCAGGCGGTCGCCCCGCGCCCACCGCTTCCCCAGCCTCATCGCCAGCCCGCCTTTGTGCCCTCGTCCGCTCCACTCATCCTCGCTCACCTTGGCCACATAATCTTTCACCTCATCCAGGTCTCCGTTCTTCAGGGCCCACATGAACTCCTTGTCGCACATCACTGCAGCGGGCGAGCGGGCGGGCGGGCGGGCCGGATAGAGACGAGGTGGCAGCAGAGGATACCGCCGGGCGAGAGGAGACAGGGCCGCGCGCAGCCGGACAAGGAGAGAAGCGGAGGCGGGCTGGGCGGCTGGGCGGGCAAGACAGTTGGCCGCGGCGACCGCTGGGGCGGGAGAAAGAAAGTTCTTTTGCAGCCACCGGGCCCAGCAGAGCAGGTTCCGCCTGGCCGAGAGCAGCAAGAGCGCTTACACTTCCGGTTCACTCCCAGCTAGGGCCCACCCCCAACTTCCTCTTCCGCCCTTGTGCGCAGGCGCAGTGGTCAGGCGGGCTGGTGAGGGGGCGGGGCCGCAGGCGAGAGTGGCAGTCTAGGTGGGCAGCGTTGAAGCTGTTGGTGTGTTATGTGTGGTGGAGTCGGCCCGACTCTTAGCGACCCCTCCTTGGGTTTGTGAGGCGGTATGAGTTGGGGCCGACTCGACGGCACATAACAACAACAACAACAACAACAAATCACTAGGGAAGTAGATTGCCCAACCTTCGGAGGAGTGGCTGCTGGGTTTGAATCGCCAGCCTTCTGGTTAGCAGTCAAGTGCCTTAGGCACTATGCTACCAGCTAGAAAGGGTTTAAAAGCTAGTGTGGGGGAGATTTCGTGTTCTTTTGGGCTAGGGAATTTATGGCCCACAGTAAGTGGGAAAAGCATTCTTGACAAAATCATGTAGGGCATCTTCCTAACTTTCTAAAAGTGTAGGAGTGTTTGATTTTAATTCCTCCTTCCGCCCCCCCTTTCTTCCCTTCTCAGTCCCTCCTCTTTCTCCCTCTCCCCTCCTCTTGCCTCTTCCTTCCACCCTCTGACCCTCCTCCACCTTCCTCTTCCCCCTCCTTCCTCCCTCCTTCCTGTCTGTCTCCTCCCTCCCTCCCTCCCTTCTTCCCTTCCTTCCACTCTCAGCATAGCTGGGGCTCCTACCTGAGCTCCACCATAGAGTAAAGCAGATGGACTAGGCACTTCCTGCCCTCAGAGAACCCTTCAACCCTTAGCTGGGTGAAAGCCAAAAGGCAAACCCCACTGCCATCAAGTCCATTCCAATTCATAGTGACCCTTCCGGACAGAATACAGCTTCCCTCACAGGGTTTCCAACTTTATGGAAGACTGCCTCATTTTTCTCCCACTGAACGACTGGTGGGTTCCAACAGAAGATCTTTTGGTTCGTAGCTGAACCTGTTGTCCACTACACCACCAGAGATTCCTAGGGCAGTGTGAACTTAACATTTTATGTATACTGTTCTCTGGAGGGTAAACCTGTGTGTAGTGGGGAAAAGATTTTATGCTCTCCAGCCAGCAAGTGATGACCAGGGCCTGGAATTCACCTTTATGGCCACAGGGCAGAGCAAACCTAACTGTCTAGTACAATTTGTGGTTTTGGCTTTTTCTGTTCATTTTTAGTAGTTTGAAGATTTGGACCGTTCTTGTTGGGCTAGTTCTATTCTCCCTAGGTTGCTAGTTGTATTTTCCCTAGGTTTTGCTTGTCACACTTTGAGGCACAGCCATCAGGTGACTTGTGGCTTACAACCCAATGATTAGACCTACACAGATGGACACAGAGGTAGCCAATGAAAACTGTCCAATAAGAAACTGGGACAGTTATATCTACAAAGTCTAGTGTTATTCATGATTAGCAAAGCCAAGCTGCTTTTCCATCATGGTGATACAGTGTAGGGGTGAACAGCACAGACTCCGAAGCCAGATTGCTTATTTTGAGTACAGCTCTATGGTGACAGCCTTCCCCTTATGATTTTGCTCATCTGGAGTAAGTTACTTAATTTCTCTATGTGTAAAGTAGGGATAACAGTATCCGGTGAATGTAAATTTCCCTTTCTTTTACTATCATTTACAACAGATAAATGTTTCAAATAAAAAAGAAAGCTTCCAAAGATCTAACAGCTACCTAGATTATTATTCTGTTAATTCTACTTCCTGACAACAAGACAACTAGAAATATGAATTCATGAACCCAATGACGATAACTTCCCTTAAACAAATTTCAAGGAGGAATTTGTTAGGCAAATTCTGGAGTCTCATCTTTTCTCTAACCCACACTCTCCTTTGTGGGATCTTTGGGGTACATCACATGACAGCTCTTGATTTATGTCTCAAGCCCAGACTTCCTTGTGACCCACTCCTGTGCTTACCTTCCTATCTATTGGAATGTCTCAATCTTAACATGTCCCAAATAGAATCTGGTCCACTTCTAGCCCTAGATTGTAGACCTAATGCTCCCCTAGATGTCACTAGCTCTGCAAATGGCCCCACTGATCCTCCTGTCACTGAAAACAGTCATGGGAGTCACAGATTACTCCTCCCTTTCCCCCTCTTTCTCTTTTATTCAATCTATTTGTGGTTGGTTACCTTTGAGTCAGTTCCAACTCATAGTGACCCCATGTGTTACAGAGTAGAACTGCTTCATAGGATTTCCTTGTCTGTAATTGTAATGGTGGCAGATCACCAGGACTTCTCCTCTGTAGTTAGCCAATGAGCACAAACCATAAGTCCTTCAAAATGTATCTTAAATGCATGCACTTCTTACCATCTCTATGACTGGTACTCCCTCCCCCTCAGTGCAAACCACCATCATCTCTCATCTGCATTTCTCAAATAGCCTCCTAGCTGGTCCCTTTTTCACTCTTATCCTCTTTTTCCCCAAAATCATTGCTCACATAGCCAGAGTTACCCTTGTAAAACATAGATTGAAAATAAAACTTCAAACTGTTCTTCCTAGTTCAGTCATGGCCAGTGAAGCAAAACTGGAAGGGACCAGAATTTGCAAAATGTGGAAGAACTGGAACAATAACCAGAATGGAAAAAAATTACAGATCAATGTCCTGCTGGAAACTTAATCTCCCTCTTAGAAAAGAAGGACATTGTGCATGTCACATAGCAACCAAATCTCTTAACTGGCACAGTCAGAAACAACAGTGCCCTGCTCAAAGATGGTGGCTGACTGCACTGCTTTGAATGTGTGTTCCTCTCCACAGTTCTGGCAATAATCCCATATCAGTCTCCTGAAAGGGCTTACTATGCCTCTTCCAAGTCTCCTATTCGAATCAGGCCGTCGACCCATAATGTTTCCTATTCTGGTTGTGGTTCTGCTTCCCCCAAATTTTAAACATGTGGGTCTGTTCTGATTTCACTTTGTTGGTCATGACTCAACCAGAGTGCACCAGTTTGAAGCCCTGATCAAAACATGTATTTCTTGTCTTAAAACTTCTGAATGACTTCCTATTACGTTTAGAATAAAATCCTGATTATTTGTTATGGCCTTCAGGGTCCTTTGTGACCTGACTCTGACTGTCTCTCCTGCCTGATGACGCTCCCCTCCTCCCCCTATTATTTCTATGGCTCTCATAGATGTAGTCTTCTGTCAATTTCAGGCAAAACCAAGTTAATTCCACTGCAGGGCCTTCACTCTGGCTGTTTCCCTCTGTCTGGAACGTTCATTCTCTAACTCTACTCACTCCTTCCCACGTTGGAGATCTGGATGCAAATGCTATCTCCTCCCAGCCCACCTACCCTAAATAGCCCCCAGTCACTCCTATGGGAGAGCCTTGTTTCCTCCACCACAGCACTTCCACAACTCTTTTCATTGTTTATCTATTGTGCTAGGTTTTCATGCTGTTCAACAATTATTTGCCTTTGTCTACCATACTGGGAACAAAAGCATTTGGCTTGACTGGGTTCTTGGTGGCCAAGTAGTGTCATGTAACTAATTTTGGCTGTTAGCTATGAGTGGGGAGCCCTGGTGGTGCAGTGGTTAAAAAGCTCAGTCGCAAAAGGTTGGCGGTTCAAACCCATCAGCTTCTCCATGGTAGAAGGATGTGGCAGTCTGCTTTCTTTAAGATTTAAAGCCCCATGGGCTCTGCCTTATAGGGTTGCGACTGACAGTTGGTGTACTATTTATTTCTTGCCAGCTACGAGTGGAAGTGATATGAGTCACCTCCGGGCTTACTAATTCAAGACCCTTCTGAGCTCTTTTTCCTCTCTAGTGGGAGCTGAGGTGACGCAATACCTAAGGCACTTGACTGCTAACCAGAAGGGTGGTGGTTCACACCCACCAGCCACTCCTCGGAAGGAAGACTGGGCAATCTACTTCCGCAGATATACCACCTCAGAAACCGAAGGAGGGGTCATATGAGTTAGAACCAACTTGACAGCAGTAAGTTGGTTTGTTTGTTTTTGAGTGCAGCAATAAACAAGGAGCCCTGGTGGCACAACATTTAAGTGTTTAGCTGCTAATCTACACCGAAAACCAAACCAAACTCACTGCTGTCGAGTCGGATCCGACTCATAGCGACCCCTCCTTGGTTTTCCGAGGTGATATCACTACGGAAGCAGATTGCCCAATCTTGCTAACCTAAAGGTCAGTGGTTGAAACCTACCTGCTGCTCTGAGGGAGAAAGACCTGTTCATCTGCTCCTGTACAGATTACAACCTAGGAAACACTATGGGGCAGTTCTACTCTGTCCCACAGAGTCAGTAGAAAACCACACACAACAACAACAACACAGCAACCAGAACATTCCAGAGCCTGGCTGCACAGGGGATGCTCAGTGCCTCAGTGTACATGCCATTCCATGATGCATATGTAAATTGAGTGAAAACTAAGCCTTTGTTTCTTTAAGCCTCTTAGATTTTGGTACTTATGATTACAGCAATATTGTCAGTGGTGACTGATACAGAAATTATTCCCAGAAGGGAGATAGTACTATAATAAAACCTTAACTAGATGGCATTGGATTGGGAGCGAGGTGGCAAACAGCAAGGGGAATGGCATTTAAAGCCATGACAATGCTGATTCGCATTCCCAGGGATGAACAATTAGTAAAATGGTCTCCTGAGATAGCGTGGTAAAGCATGTAAGGCAGATAGTGTATCCAGTAAATGTGTAACTCTACTGGACGAGAATCCAAACCAGAAGGTCGGTGGTAGCTGTCAGCTGCATATGATTAAACACTGAAGGAAAAAACGAGCTTAGAAAGAGGACCAACCAGCTTTCCATCAGGAATGAAAGTGATTTTAGAGTCCAGAAATACTGGGACTTGCAGTGTTGGGACACACAAGACGTTATCATCTTCTACTGGTAAACAGTGACTAGATGAAGAAGAGCAAAGGTTGTTTAGAACTCAGCCTGTGGCAAGGATCACATGAAGGTATGACTGCTATTCCCGGTTGCCA